TAGATGAGATTCTGAAAGAACTGAGGGGCAACAGAGATATACATATATATTCACATATACACATATATACATATACAAACATGCACACAAATATACATATGCAATACACACCCACACACATAAATATGAATATACATAAATATGCATACACACACATATATATGTATATACATATATGTATATATATGCACATATGCACACAGGCATGTAGACATATACACAGATATAAATATACACATGCAATATATATATATACATATATATGTATATATATATATCTCACATGCACATATACCACACACACATGTATTTATACACATATATGTACATATATGTATACATATGTATATGTACATAATACATATATACATATGTATATATGTGTACATATATATATTTGGAATGACCAATGAAGAAATGAAGAAATGGAGAATATTTCTCCCTCTCTGGTATTCTATAAGACTTTCTGCACTAATAAATTATGTTAAAGTCTATTGTGGAATTCATTAGTAAAGTTCTGAACTTGGGTTTTCTTTGTAGTAAACGTGAAAGAACAAAATCCTCTGTTAATCCAAAAGCAATTTAGATTCACAAAAAAATGGACAAGCTACAGAGATTTTCTATATCTCTTGCGTCTCCACCTGCACAACACCTTTGTTTATACTCCTCACAATTTACCTAATTAACTCAATACATTATCACTCCAAAACCATTCTGTCTATATTCTATCTATCTATCTATCTATCTATCTATCTATCTATCTATCCTCATCCTCTGTCTATCTATCTATCTTACATTAATAGGACCCATTCCCTTAAAGAAGAAATCCTAAAGAGCTATCTGTCTTGTTCACCACATGAGGACACAGAAGGCAAGCACCATCTATGAACTAGAGTAGTCTCTAACCAGATTTTATATCTGCTGCTAACATGCTTTGAATTTCCCAGCCACCAGGACTATGAAATAAGTTTTTGTTTCTTTGAGTCAACATGTATATGGTAACTTAATGTAGCCATTCAAATAGACTAATGTAGGAATGTACTCTCAATGTTAGTACCATACAGACCATATCTACTACTCTAAACATTCTTTATGTACCCTCTATCTGCCCCCATTTCAACCAGCAGAACACACTAATAATTTGATTGTCTCACTAGTTATGTGTTTTACAGAATGTTATAAATTTAAATCATACAGCATCCTCAGATTAAATTTTTCTTCATTTAGTACAGAAAACTTGAATTCCTCCTTGTCTTCCAGTGGCTTGTTGGCTCATTTCCTTTTATCTTTGAATAGCATTCTATGGACTAGTTGTATTGGATTTTAAAACAATAGATTCAGCTACTTAAGTACTGTGTAAATGCTTCCACAGTTTGAAAAAAATGATAAACACTGATGCCTAAGTATTAGCATGTACTAAGTGTTTTGATAACTTACTTCTAGATTATATGAAAAGAGCATGGTGGAACTTTTTTTTATTATAAATTTCAGTCTGCCTTCCAAGAGGGCTCTACTCTTATACACACTGTGACAAGTGACTGAGTGGTCCATCGTGACCTAATGCCAATGTTCCAGATCTGGACCACTGTAAGAGTGCAGGGTGATTTTACTGCTTGAACCTTCGCTTCCCTGGTAACATATGAATACAGCATCTTCTCAATCTTCTTATACACCCATCTGCAATGTGTGCATCTTCTCAGATGAAATGTCAGGTTGGCTGCATTTACTAGTTCTTTGTATATTTGGGTGGCAGTATTTGATCGCATACATCATTTACAAATATATTGTCTAAATCTGTGGCTTGTCTTTTAATTCTCTGGACAATACATTTTTTTATTCATCATACTGCTTTTAAAAATGAAGTCCAACTTTCTACTTGCTATTTTTTGGGGGGAGGACACACTTTCTAAAAGGTCATGCTAACCACAAGGTCATTTAGGATTTTCTCTGTCCTATTTTTTGAGAAGATTTATACTTTTGCACTAGATTTTTAAGTCTATGACCCATTTTGATTTTAGTTTTTGAAAGGTGTAGAATCTGGGTTTAGGTCTTTTAATATACGGAAATATTCTTGCAATAAATGATGTAATTTCCCCAGTATCATTTGTTTAAAAAGTTGACCTTCACCTCAGGGTATTGCCTATATCTTCATGTCAAAAAAATCAACTCTATTCATGAGAGTCTATATCTGTACTCTATATTTTATTTTACTAATTTATTTGTACCTTCTCTCACCAATAGCACATTGTCTTTATAGTAGCTTTATAATAAATTATTCTTGAGGATAGTAGTCAGTCTTTCAAATTTATTCTTGTCTCTTAATATTTTGTTGGTTATTCATTTCGCCTCTTGAAATGCACTTTAGAGTACATTTGTTAATATCTAGAAAACTACTTACTGAAACTTGATAGCATTGCCTTGAATTTGTTATAAAATAACAGTAAATGTAAATGTTTTAATAGATAAAGGCCCAGTACATCATCCATTTCTTCTTGAATAAGCAATTAAGTTCAAATATTTAAAGAAACCCATTTCATCAAAGTTGTAAGTTCATTCTCTCTCTCTCTCTCTCTCTCTCTCTCTCTGTCTCTCTCTCTCTCTCTGTCTCTGTCTCTCTCTCTGTCTCTGTCTCTCTCTCTCTCTCCCTTCCTCCCTCCCTCCCTCCTCCCTCCCTCCCTCCCTCCCTCCCTCCCTCTCTCTCTCTCCCTCTCTCTCTCTCTCCCTCTCTCTCCCCCCCCCTCTCTCTCTCTCTCTCTCTGTGTGTGTGTGTGTGTGTACATAAATATGTGGAAGTCAGAAAACTCAGAGAGGTTGATCTCTTCACCACATGGGTCCCTGACATTGACCTCGGGTCATCAGGCTTGGCAGCTAGGACCTTTACCTGCTAATGCACCTCACTAGTCCTAAGTTGCAGACTTTTCACCACTGAGTGGCTCTGTATATTCTTTACTATTTTTAGTATCTACAAGTTCTGAAATGGTGTCAGCACTATGTTCTTGATGCTTATAATTTTTCTCTTGTTCTTACTTTTTTCTGGCTCATGGTGTTGATTTTTGAAATGTTTTCATGTTACTTATGTATACTCTAATTTTTATTTAGTTTATTTTGATTATTGTTTCATTTTCTCTTTCTTCATTTTCCTGCAGTAGAAAGTGAAGCTACTGATTTGAAATCTTTCTTCTAAAACATACATACAATATTATAATTTCCTCTTCAATATTGACTTTTTTTAATTTTCACTAATTTCAAATATTAAGTTCTTTTGTTTTTTTCTGATTATTCACAAATATGTCATTTAGCTTCCAAATATTTTGAATACTTTCAAGGCTTTTGCTAGTTTTTAATTTCCATATGGTCAGATATTATATCCTGTATGAAGTAAATCCTCTTAAATTAATTGAGATCTCTTTTATAACTCAAATTACACTGTATTTGGTCCATGTTCCATGTGATTAGTAGAGAAGGCTAGTGTATGCTGCTTTGGGAAGTATGTTCATAGTAGGCAGTTACACCCTGTTAATGCACTGTTAAAGTTCACTGAATCCTTACAGTATTCTACAAATGGAATTCCATTATTAATGGAATGCTATTGATTGCTTTACTATATTTGTTTGATTATCTATTTTCCTTTGCAGTTTTATCTGTTTGGACTTCATATATTTTGATGTTCTGATAAGTTTAGAATAATCACATAATATTAAACAATTATATATTGTTCTAAAATAGGTTTTATCCTAATGATATTTTTTCTTTATTATATGTTGTATTAATATTAATATAGTCTGTTTCAATTTTCTTTTGATTGCTTTAACTGGAATGTCATTTGCACCTTATTTTTACTTTTAATTGCACAAATGAATTTGCATCTATGTGCAGGGATGCCATTTGTGGTGTCTGTGGAGGCCAGAAGGGGGTATTCGAATGTCAAGAACAGGATTTACAGTCAGCTGTAAGCTATTAGACACAGGGATTGGGAACCCAGCTCTGGTGTGCACTATTAACCATTCAGCCATAATTTCCCAGTCCCACCCCTTTTCCACTTTTAACCTACTTGTGTCTTCATATTTAAGTTGGGTTCTCATAGGCAGTATATGCTTCTGCTTTTCTCATATTTAGAATTTATATATATATATATATATATATATATATATATATATATATATATATATATATATGTGTGTGTGTGTGTGTATGTGTGTGTGTGTGTATATGTGTGTGTATGTGTCAAGTAATGTATAACATCATTACAGATTCTTTTAAGTCTAAAGTTATCAATTATTTTCTCATTATTTCATATGGCTTTTTTCTGATTTTGGTTTTGTCTTTTTACTCAAAGCAAGCATATTTATTCTCCTATTTAATTTCCAGTTTGTCTTATCAACTGCATATGATTTTTTTCTTTTTATTAGTTTTTTTTGTGAATTTCATATCATGTACCCCAATGCTACTCATGATCCCCTTTCTCACACCTGCTCTCCATCATTGCAACAGTACCCACAAGAGAGAAAAATATCTCATGGAAGCTGTAGTGTGTCACAGTGTGTCATACAGTATACGCTTTTGTCCACGCTTCTTTGCTTGTAAATGTTCATTTCAATGTCTCATTGGTCTGGTACAAAGCTTCTGACTTCTGGTACTCTATCAATAGTGGAACCTCAATGGGACTCCTCTCAGGTATTATTGCTCTGTATCACGAAAATCCTGTAGTTTTTGGTCTGTAGGACACCCCTCTATACAACCCAAGAGTTCATTCATGGGGTAGATGTTAGGATGGGACAATTCAAAGCCCTGGATCTCGGTCTGATAGACTGGCTTCATGTGAGGGTCATCTGCCTTGGGTTTGTGCCCACTTGGGGTCCTCAGTCCCAGGTGGGGTTCTTCTAGTTTCAGCTTGCCCCTGGTTGTGGGAGTCACTGGGGCCTTCACAGCACTGGACTCATGGTCATCTCAGGCGAGATTCCTGTCTGAGCTGGGTCTTCTCAGGCTTGCTCTCTTCAGGAAATGCTAGTCTACTAATCCTTCAGGTGGTCATAGGTCAGAACACTGAACTTAGGCATAGCCTTTCTCTTCTCTTCTACCTATTAAGGCACAAGTGACACAGCAGTCACACCTGCAACACATCTAGGGGCAGGCTGTTATGTTTCCTTAATGCTTGCTTAATGATCTATACTGTATAGCTTTGTCACCCTGTACCTTAGACTGATGTTTACAACTCTATATAATGATTGGAACTCACAATAGCACATTATACTCTTGTCCTGTATATTGCATGAATCCCTTTATAGATTATTTTAATTTAAATTAAGCTATTAGTTAAAGTGTTTTTACATTTATCTCTGGAGTTTTTCTTCCATTTTTATCCATATTTCCTTCCAGTATAATTTCTAGTGTCAAGAAAGATTGTAAGAGTCAAAAGTCTGCAATGAGATAGGTAGTCTTTTATATATGACAGAGACACTGCACCCATGAAATTGTAGCAATGTGGTCATCTAAACAAGACCTGCACAATGACAACTCTGGCTGACATCCCATTCCTTTATTTTTGAAGAATTTCCTTCAGTATCTTCTTCGCCCCAGGTCACTTTTTGATGAATTTTTCTAGTTTTCATGTGTCTTAAAACTCTTTGTTTCACCTATGATTTGAAAGATTGTTCTAGAATTAGAGATGGCAGGTCGCTGTTCTTGCCCTTCAGTGCTTTGAAGGTCCTTTTCACTGTCTTCTAGCTTGCTTTGTTTTGGAGGAAAACTCTTCCTCATTCTTATCTCTGTCCTCTGCACACATTATGCACCCAGTGACAGCTTTAAAAATGTTCTGTTCTTGACAAGACTTAAACAAGCACTACACCAACAGATATGATAGCATTGAAGGAGGAAGTACCACAAAGCTCGAACCTTAGATTAAGTACTACAGGCAGTTAAGAAATTCTGAGAGCAGGAGACAATAGTCCTCCCCAGGGAATAACAACCCCTCAATTGGTTATTTAACATCAAGCAATCATCTGTGAAATCAGATACATAAAAGTAAAATTATATGAACTGAACTTAACATATTTAAGCACACATATTTCCCATCTGCTACACCTAGGAGGAATAGAAAAACACTTTCCAAGAACAATTCTGTTTTGAAGAACTTGAGGTCATGAGACTCTTGCCTTGTTTTCTTCAAGTGTTCTCACACCCTCTCAGAATTCCCATCACAAGATTCCATTCCTGTACGATGTTCCAACTCATTAGAGGGTTGGATGGAGGAAAGGAGAAAATGATGTAATTATATTTTAATTTAAAAAAGTAAATTCTGTTTATGGACACTTGCTTATGGAGCCACAGCCATGCAGCTGGTTTAAGCCTGCCAACTTTTCTGAGTTATTCAAAAACCTTCTTTTTTTTATTTCTTTTTTCTCCTCTGTAGTCTTGCTTGCTTTCCCAGACACACTGGGATTTTTCATTCTTCTAAAGAAGTTGTCCCCTGGCCCTTTCCTTCCTGTGTCATCTTACATATGATTTTCTTTTTCTTCTCCTCCTCTTGCTCTTCCTCCTCTTCCTGCTCCTTCTCCTCCTCCTCCTCTTCTTCCTCCTCCTCTTATTCCTCCTCCTCTTCCTCCTCCTCTCTTCCTCTTCCTCCTCCTACTTTTCCTCCTCCTCCTCTTCATCCTTCTCTTCCTAAAAAAAAAAATTGTTGTTTGCCTACCCACATTTTTTTCTTTAAACTCAAATAAGACTGTCCCTAGTTTCAAAACAAAATTTCACTTCATGAGACTTTAAGTAAATTTTGAAGCATCTCAACCATCCATTCAAGGGGTTCTTTCTGTTCCCAATACATTTTTTTTCTCCAATGATTCAAACTGTGTATGTCAAACAACAGGAAGTCACACCACAGCTTAATGACAGTGGTTTCTGATTTTCCAAGCCACTCTCTAATCTTTTGTTTGTTTTTGTTCTTCATATGAGATTGTGTAAATCACTACACACCTATGTTCACCAAGCTTTTGCAATTTCCAACATACTATTAATTCTATCTATTGTAATTTTTTTATTTAATTTTTTTGAACATGAAATGCTTTTTTATAGCATGTTTTACAAGGGGAGGGGGTAAGAGGGGCCAAGTAGTGGAAAAGTACAGAATCTTCTTGGCCTGTGCCTTGAAACATGTCATGGTCTATATGGTACACTGCCTTGAATTATGATCTACTTGCTGTTCTTTAGAAGATATGGTACACTGCTTGAGTTATGGTCTCCCTGCTATTCTTAAGAAGATATGGTACTCTGCTTTGAGTCTATCTGCAGTTGCTAAGCAGGCTCTTGCAGTTGCCAAGCTTCAGAGGACATTGTGCAGGTGGGGAAAGGTAGGGGGTGAGGGTAAGGGTGAGGGTCCTGGCTTCTGGCATCTCCCCCTTCTCTGTTTAGTTAGAGAAGGCGTCTTATGATCAATCCCAACTATGTGAATTTTGAATTTGGATGTCTAATTATGGGGGGGTCTTAGACAAGTTCACAACCCCAAAACACTGATGTGAGACGAGTCACATCAATGGTCGAAGGCTTTAGGCTGTCGACGATGGGCAATGTCAAGGGACCCCGAGGTGGGTGAAAGGAGGGTGAGAGCCCTGTCTTAGGCCATGTAGGCTGCACCCACTCCCAGCACCACGCACTCCTTTTCAGCTGCATTGGGTGGGCCCCTGGGAAGTGGACCTACAATAATCCCGTCATTGGGCTAACTCACAGCCTTCCTAGTCCCTTGTAAATGTTCAAGTTACCAACCATTTGTCAGTTTGGGGTGTAATATTGTCATAAAGGAAGGCTCCCCAATGTTAGCGGCCATATCAAGGGTGGCCTTGGTTTAGGAAAAAGCCAATTTTTGTTGTGGTGATCAAGAGGCCAAGCTCTCTAGCGAGAGAAACGAGGGCAAAGCCAGGCATACCAGGAACCCTTCTGGAGGGCGTGGAAGTCTAGGGGTCGACCGTAGGGGGAGGCAGGGGAGCTGGCAGCTGTGTCAGTCTCCTGCGGAGTCACTTCTGGATCCTCTTCAATTTTCAGCTGATGGTAATGAATTTCAACCGTCTCCTTGATGGCAGCATCAACCTGGTTCTGTGGACGACAGGTCGCGGGCAACGATCTCTGTCTCGCTCAATCTTGATGTCGTGCGCACATCCTCTCAATGAGGGTCCGTCCGGAGGGGTCCGTGCCTCGAGCCCCACGTCTGGGTGCCACTTGACCCAACCGGCGGGTCCTAGTTATTCGTGGGGGTGAGGAGGACTGCAACCTGCTATTCTTCAGAAGATATAGTACACTGCTTGAGTTATGGTCTCCCTGCTATTCTTCAGATGATATGGTACACTGCTTTGAGTCTATCTGCAGTTGCCAAGCAGGGTCTTGCAGTTGCCAAGCTTCAGGGGACCTTGTGCATGTGGGAAAAGGTAGGGGGTGAGGGTAAGGGCGAGGATCCTGGCTTCTGGCCCATCTGGATTAGAACTTCTGACAGCAGGCATCACGGGTGATTCATTTTTACCTGGAAAGAAAAACGAAGGGGATTCTCAGGGAGATTTCTCTTCCCTGGATGTAAATTGTTATTCATCGTATTTATGGTTGGGCCTGGCTTTGTGAGGGTATCTATTTTTTTCCATTAATATTTGTAGTAGCCAGTTAGCTGTGCCTTCTGTGGTATTGGACAGGCATATCAGTCCTTGGCTCCATTAGGGAACTGGGTCTGGGGCATTCCCTTTATGGGTATGAGGGTCCTTCCCCATATCTGTGGCAAAATTTTGTTGGTCTTGGTGGTGCCCGAGGTCACCAACATGGTCAGCAAGAGATTTGCCATGAGCTTTCAGCTTTAGAGAGAGAAAAGTGAACAAGGCATGATGGAGAATATTTCAGGGGGACTCCTTCTGAGGGGGTACCGTTCCCCCTCTTTTGTTTTTAAAGCCAATTTTTCAGAGTTCTTGTAAAATCAGGGCAGAAGCACCAACAGTTGCTCCTTCCACACTCAGAGAGTCATGAAGACCTTATTTAAGGATATATAAATCTATATTAATAATCTTTTGTCAAAGGACTTTTATAGCACCACTGACAATTAATCAGACTATGTGATATATCGATTAGAAATAGCTTTTTCTACTTTTTGTGAGATTACCTCTCTTTTGTCAATTAACTGTTGAGGAAGTTAGGGTTTACCTCTCTCTTGAGAATATTGAACAGAGATTTAAATTCTTTTGTGGAGAGCTTAAAATAGGATCTTAGCCAATTTGCAACTCCTAGAAACTTTTGAAATTAATTTAAAATAAGTAAACTCCCTTTTTTTTAAATCCTTTATCTGTGTGGGTTTTTTATTGGATATTATACGTATTTACCTTTCAATGTTATCTCCTTTCTCATTCTCCCCCAAAATCCCTTATCCCATACCCCCTCCTCCTAATTTTTGTGATGGTGTGCTCCAAACATCCTCACAGTCCCATCTCCCTGCTCTCGAATTCCCACACAGTTGGGGATCCAAACTTTCGGGGACCTTGGCCCTCCACTTTCACTGAAGTCTAACATGGTCACCCTCAATTCCCTATACAGGTGCGTGAGTCCCTCCCTTTGTGCTCTCTGGCTGGCGGTTTAGACTTTGGGAGTTCTGGTTGAAACTTTTGATACTCTTTCTAGAAAGGACCAACGCATTCATACTTTGGTCTTCCTTCTTCTATGTGAGTTTTATGTGGTCTATATGTAGATTCTTAGAAATTGTGAGCTTTTGGGCTAATATCCACTTATCAGTGAGTGCATACCATGTATGTTCTTTTGAGATTGGGTCATCTCACTCAAGATGATATTTTCCAGCTCCATCCATTTGCCTAGGAATTTTGTGAACTGATTGTTTTTAATAGCTGAGTAGTACTCCATTGTATAAATGTACCACATTTTCTGCATCCATTCTTCTGTCGAAGGGCATCTGGGTTCTTTCCAACTTCTGGCTATTATAAATAAGGCTGCTATGAACATGGTGGAACATGTGTCCCTGTTGTATGTTGAAACGTCTTTTGGGTATATGCCCAGGAGTGGTATAGCTGGGTCCTCAGGTAACACTATGTTCAATTTTCTGAGATACCGCCAGACTTCCTTCCATAGTGGTTGTACCAGTTTACAATCCCACCAACAGTGG